GATGCTACGCCATGTGTCTTTCCCTTTCTGCGGCTCTTGTCTTTCCACTTGCTCATGCAGGAAGCCCCGGGATCAGATCTAAGGAGAGCAGGTGGCAGGGGAGCATACCATGGGTGACACCTGGCCTGGTGCTGTGTCCTTCAGGGGACCACATGATCCCCCCTCATTCTGCCCAACTGGAACCCACGGACAGCTCTGCATTGTGTGATGATTTGATTAGTGTCTGTCCCTTCACTCCCCCTCCCCCTCTGACCCTAGACTGAAAGCTCCATGAAGGCGAAGGGCAAGTCAAGGTGAACCTGCCACAGTGCCACACAAGACATACCCCATAAATGCTGCTCTTGTGAGTGTGAGCTCAAATTCTTACAACAGTCGTTCTTAACCAGGTGTGTGGCTCAGTGTTCCTCTCAGAAATTCTGACTGGGGAGCAATAGGGGGGGACAGAACATAGGTATCTGCACTTTGCACCTCTGTGTAGGATTCTAACAGTCACATTCAGTGAGGGGTGGGGATGGAGCAAGAAAAGTGCTGGCTCTCCATTCACACTGGAATCTTGGCTACACAGTGAGGTTGTTTTTAGTGTAAGGATGTCCTATGAAATATTTATATTTTATCTACTATCTTTCCTCCAGTTAAGAGTTGCTATGTATTTAGAAAAGAAAGTGCAAGGGCCTCGCTCTGCTCATTGAGGTGTAAGGAGGACAGCGAGCTACAGGGTGTGAGAGAAAAGGGCCTGATGACTTCCTCTTTGGGCAAGTGAAGGCATGGCCTTAAAAGCCATCTGTCCTCATCAGGAGGTAAAAGTGACAGGGTAGCTCTTCTAGACATTGACCTTCAATCTTAATGGGAACTAGAAGTTTACTAAAATGCCAGATGGAGGCAGGGAACTTTTTAGAATGAAGTTTCCTAACTTTGTTTAAAGCTTTATGGATCTACAGCTAAGGTATTGGCTATTCAAGACTGACACAGCAACTGAAAACATCAAATAGGAAAGGAAAACTGAAAAGGTCAGAATCACCTCCTCAGGGCTGATGTATTTATTGTTGATAATTATGATGTGACAAAGACAGACGAGGTTGTCTTACCAAGTGGCGGATGTCAGCACCAAACCCTGCTTTGAACTTGCCTGCTGCCCTTCCCAGTCCCGGCCTTCTAGCTGTCCCTCACACACACCGGAAGTCTGCAGCTCTTGACCTTCACTTAGGCTCCCCAGGTCCCACCCTAGCTCCTTCCTCAGTTCAGTTCTCTGCTTTCCTTCCCCCTCACCCTTGGTGGAATCAGGGGTTGAACTCAGGCCCTTGCACTTGCCAGGCAAGCGCTTAGTCTACTGAGCCATCTCCCCGGTCCTAGTTCCCTGCTTTCCTTGCTGCCTGCTTCCCTCCGTGCATTCTGCAGCTTCATTCTTCTCCACAAGTAGTGTTCTCCCTGATGTTATACTAGCTATCTATGTATGTGTGTCTTATGTCTTTCCACCTGGCATGAAGATTCCATGCAGGCAGGGACTTCGCTGTCACCCACCATGTGTCCTTAGTAAAGAAGGGACGTCTGGGGTGAAGGAAACAGCCAGCAGATATTTCCTAAATGAACAGATGAATGGGTGGCATTGTTTCCCAGCTCAGAGCAGTCAACAGTTTCCCCTTACGTTTGGAACAAGACACAGCTTCTGCACGGGAGACGTGGGCCCTGCCCACAGCCCGGCCATGTGCTGTGCTACAAAACACAGCTACGCTCTGCTCGCATGCTCTTTGCCCCTTGTCCCTTTGGATCCCACACAAAGTAGTCTTGGAGCTACAAATTGGTGTCCCCTGGACTTGAGGTCTGGCTTAGCCCTTCCGTGGGAATTGTGGGCTCCTTCTCTTTGTTCAGATCTCAAACCACATTCACCTCTGCAGAGAGGCCATCCCTGACCAGCATACCCCAATCCTCCCTCTCTCTCTCTCTCTCTCTCCCCCTCCCTCCCTCTCTCTCCCTCTCTCTCTGTCTCTCTCTCTGTCTCTCTCCCTCTCTCTCTCTCTCTCTGTGGCAGCCACACTTTGTCATATCACACTGTCCACTTCTGCGTTTGCTTTTCCTTGCTTGTATCTTCTGATTAGCTGATAAACGCCACCTTTTGCATCTAGTGCACTGCAGGTCCTTGGTGCCTAGAATGAAGTTTCAAAATGAGTGAGAGAATCAAAGATCTCACTCATGGAAAGATGCAGCAAGGAGTCTGAATTTACTTGCTTTTTATTGCTCTTTCCTTATTATGAGACACTGAGGGTTTATCAAAGACCTCCTGATGACTGTCCTTTTAGAGGATAACACTGCAAATATTCTGTAGTGCTAAAATACGCTTCTTTGTATTTGTGTCAGAACCAACTGATGGGCCAATGGTCTGATGCAGCATGAGACATATTAAGTTTTCCTAAAATGCTTCACATTTTTTGACCAGCCTTTGCTGAAAAAAACTTCCAGTTGCTTCTTCTACATCTCAGGTTCTGTTGTTTAACAAGATGTAAATATTTAGCATGTTGGAGAATGATACAAAATGGAACAGTCTATCAGAATTCAGGAGGGCCAGCCAAATAGCTCAGCAGATTAAAGTCCCTGCAAGCAAGCTCAGGGGCCCCGAGTTCAATGCCCAGGCCGGCAGTGCCAGCCCTGCCCCTGGGGTGTGCTGAGCCGACAATTGAGACTGGGCGTGGTGGTGCACGCCTGTAATCCCAGCTCTTGGGAGGCTGTAAAGAGGAGGATCACTATGAGTCTGATCTAGTAGTGAGACCCTGAACACCCTGTAGACCCTGCCCTAAAATACAGAAAAGAAAAAAAAAAAAAGAATTGAGGGAAATAAATCAGACAACTTGTTAAAATTTGAGGTCAATGGCCCAAACCATTCCCAATTAGATTTTCCTTTAACACATGTTCTACGGCTGACAACTTCCTCACTTATGAGCAAGGATAAACTGGACCCATTTTGCTTCAGATGCTCTCCTTCCTCCATTTTTTTGTAGGATTATACACAGCCCTTAGTGTTGGTTTTGTTGTCACTGGAAACAGTGAGGTCATGTAAAGCTGCTGTGTCCTCTGGTGTCTATGGGCGGAGCAGTCCATGATACCAGGGCTCACAAGAAGGTGGGAGGGGAGGGCAATCTCTTGGGATAAAAAGCATGAGGAGAAAGGCCTCACATTTCACTCTGACCTTTCGTCATAAGACTCAGGTGTTCCAGTGTGGGATGTGTGAGGGAAGAGCTGAAAATGAGACAGCTGTGTCACAGGTGAGGGGACTCTCTTCTTGAATCATTATTGATCAGAATGTCTATTTGATGTAAATCACTGCCATCGCCTCACTCTGGCAAGTGGGCAACTGAAGACCATAAAACTCCCAATCTGCCCATAATGCCGGCTTCTTGGGAGGCTGAGACAGAAGGATTGCAAGTTCAAGTTCTGCCTGGGTCATTTAGCCAGATCTTGTTCTCAACCAGAAAAATAAAAAAGGACTAAGGGTATGACTAAGTGGTGGAGAGCCCTGGGTTTAATCCCTGGGGTGGAGGGAGAGAGAAAGAGAGAGAGGGAGAGAGAGATGCCCCATGATTATGTGAGTCAGATGTACTTTGTCTTCTTTTTGAAGTTGCTCTAGAACCCAAGAGCCTTGGCTGAGAGAGAGAGAGAGAGAGAGAGAGAGAGAGAGAGAGAGAGACAGAGAGAGAGAGAGACAGAGAGAGGAAGGAGGAGGAAGAGAAGGAAGAGGAGGAGGAGGAGGAGGAGGAGGAGGAAGAGGAGGAGGCGGAGAAGAGGAAAGGAAAATAAAAGAAAAATCTCCTAATAACTAACTTATGGACCTCGTGTCAGGTCTCTGTCATGAACTGTGTGAGCTGCGACTTCCCTGGGAGACTGCAGGTCTCATCAATGGTCTTGCTGAGCCGGGCCACTCTGGTGTCCTGAGGACTGGCTGACAACTGGACTGACCCATAGGCCCTGCCAGAGTTCTGAGAAACACAGCTGATTATGCAGCATGTGTCCTCAGAGAATCAGGCGTCTTCCTGTCATCTAGTAGCAGAAGAGCCTCCCTCTGCACTGCCAGAAAGAGTAAAGGGTCCTACTGCTGGCTGGACAAGTCACACCTAATCCACGTGGAGCCAGCATGCTTCACAGCAGCTAGAAGCACCTGCAGTGCCAAGAGGAGGGGGTGCTAGCCCAGGTGCTAGAACAGAGCAGGCTGACTGAAAGTCCCCTGCTCTTTCCCCAGAGGTCCAGGGTTGATTCCACCCCTCCCTGGCCCTTCCTCATGGTCCTCCAGCAGCTTGAGAGGAGATACACAGGTCCCAGGGTGACACAGGGTGGACTGAGGCCTTTCTGCCAGGGGAGGAGGCCCCCTTTGTCTGTGTGTGGCTTACCATCCTACCTTCAGTCACAGCAGAATGTTCAAATGGGAAAAGATCACAGGCTCATGAATTTGATTTTTTTTTCTAGCCAAATACATATTTTCATTTCAAAGCTGAAATTGTAGGCACAACTTCAATGAACTAGTGAAATGAGAGCAACAGTGCTGAGAATGCTCAGCAGAGAGGAGCAGCACCCTTGGGGGAGGTCTCCTGTTACCTGCTCCCTCCTCCTGACAAAGCTTAGGAGCTGGCCAGCACATCCAAGGCCCCTGCTAAGGCAGCTCTGCCAGGCGCACTGCTTGCGACAATGCCAGGATGCCTGGACACCAGGCTGGGAAGCAAGCTAACCTAGAAGTGGGCAGCACCGTGCATAGGGGGTTCATGTCTGCCTCCCCCTCGAGTGGAGAAAGAAACATTGGGCCAGGACAATCTGATAGGACTTTCAGTGAAATCCTGAATTGCCACCTTTCTACAAGGATCACAGACCTCAAAATAATTATTAACATTCTAATTATTAACATTATTAACATGCTAATGAAGCGGAGGAGCCCATAAAGTAAAGCACTTTGAATGCAAGTGCTTCAGAGTTCAGGTCTCCAGCAGGGCTCTTCCTGGGTCAAGCAATCCCAGCACCTTTACCTGTTCCAGAAGATGGAGGAGTGATAGACCCTGGGCTGTCATCTTCAGGCTCTGAGACTGTGACAGTGGGGACTGTGTCAGGACTTGGCTTCAGACAGGTGTCTTGCTTCTCTGGGGCCTTGTCTTGGACAGCAGTCATGACAACAGGCTCAATCTCTGTCAGCGTGATTTTAATGGGGGCCGTGACCAGAGGAGTGCTGTGCTGTGCCTCAGAGAGGTCGTCTATGTAAGGAGCAAAGGTGGATTCTTCAAACAAGTGGTCCTTGACGATTTTCCCCTCCACAGGAGCTGGTTTGTCAGGTTCACAGACACCTCCTGCTTTGGTTGAGCTCTCAATGTCCTTGCTCTTAAAGTCCAAGTCTTTATCCTCCAACTGAGGACGATGCTGTTCTTGACATTTCACCTCCTCTGGCCTTGTTATGTCAATGTACTTACAGGCTTCTGCTTTCATCTGGCCCAGAGGGTCAGCTAGGATCTTGTTCACTTCGGTGGACTCTGCAGGAGTCATCTCTATTCCAGAATCAGAGCTAAGCAAGCCTCGCGGCTCTATCCCAGGCACATCTGGTAAGGAGGGTCCGGAGATCCCCAACTCCTCGGAGCTCTCAGAAGCAGTGATGTGACCGTTTTCCTTCTGAAGAATCCCAGTGAAGTAGGTGGACTCCTCTCGAGACGGGTAGCAGATGTCGGAAATCAGAGATGTGTAACACACTCCTTCCCCATCCCTCGATGTCATTGAGGAGTGATCCAGGCCACTGGACAGAGCTGTCACACCTGTCAATCAAACAGCAGCAGAATATGAATGGATACCTGGCCTTGATCTTTCTCCTGCCTAACCCACCAGCCAGCCGTGCCTTCTGGGGATACAGCACCCACCCCAAGACCTCAAGGCACTTTTGGCGCATGGCATGCAAATCTTCCTTGATTCCCTATAAGCTTCTGCAGCTTTGGGCTTTTCCAGGTCCCAGGCCCAAGCGGCTCATATAAGCTATCACCTATGCTGGGGACAGATCCCTCCCAGAGGACTAGAAAGCTGATTTTCAACATCTACTACCTCCATAGACAATGTCTTCATTTGACTTCATGTTATTAAAAGGAAATTTTCTTTTTCTTTGCATTTAAGTCTTAACATTTTTTTAGGCAGAGATAGAAATGCAGTCTCACAAGGTGTGTAAATGGAGCAGTAGGGCAGTGGGCCTAAAAGGGCTGCTCTTGGACACTGCAGGGCTGAGAGAGGCCTCCAGCAATGCTCGGGCCGGCTTGGCCACTCATGGACTCTTGCTCCTTTGGGGTGACCCCATCCATTTTCTTTTTTAAGGTCATCAGGAAAAGGGACTCGTAATTCAAGGTCCCTTCCCAAAGTGGCCTGATCTTCATGGTGTGTCTTCCCATTGGTTCATTTCCCCTCTTCATTTTGTTTCCCTACCCGTTCATTCCCCTCCTAATTCTTTGTTTTCTAGTAATATTCAAAATACCGCACTTGGCATTGCTGTCTTCTATTGGTGGTACCATGGGTAAAACAAGTTTCCAAGTTTGAGTCTAGAGAATGTTTCTTTAGACCTTTGCTACGGCCAGAAAAACTGCACTGATGTGTGCAGAAAGAGAAAGCCAACCATCATTTTTCTCTGCTATGGAGCGCTGCCAGGGAGGAAGAAAACCAGCGCCCATTGAGGATTCACAACCTGCCAGGGTGGGGGATAGTAGGTAAAGCCCCATGTTCTCAACCCCTGCACAGGTACACATCGCACAAATTCATAAAAACACATACATACAGCATGCACCTGAAGAATACGCAAGACCAATGCCCCAACTCCCACAGAGCAGTCAAATCACCAGCATGAACAATAATGTCACCAGCCAATGTTAGCGTGCGTGGTGTGGCCAAAAAAAGTTCCAAGCCTTTATTCAATGACACAACCCCAAAAGGCTGCTGCTACTGTTAGGCTCACTTTATCGATGAGAAAACTGGGAACAGGTTAAATAAGCTCTCACAGAGACAGGCTATTAGTACATTCTGAACATGTAAGTAAATGTCTCAAGGAATTTTTATTAAGTTTTTCAGAATTATATTTCTAGGATTTTTATTTTTCTGGAGTTTAAACTTTTGGATATTGACATTTGAGATTATAGCACTTAGAAATATCTTTTAGGATTATAGTCAAACCTATTTAAGTTACATTTCTTGGGCTGGGAGACAGCTTAGTGGTCTAAGCTCCTGCCCAGCAAGCACAGGGCCCATGTTCGATTCCCAATACCACATGCCATGCTGGCCCTGAAATTGGGTGTGGTGGCACACGCCCATAAGCCCAGCACTGGGGAGGCTGAGACAGGAGGATTACTATGAGTCCAAACTGCATAATGAGATCCATATGTATTAAATCATAAAAATAATTAATAAATTAATTTCTTATCCTTTTGTGTTTCAACATATTTTAGAGAGAACCATATCAGAATCATCATAAACACAATAATGCTAATGTGTTAACTGTAATCATGTTTTATTTTCTTAAATTGAGCTAAACATCCTGAAAAACGATCAAGATTCTAATTTACTGAATTTGAAAATGCAGAAGCTTTATTTGGTGCCTGTAAGATAGAACTCCTGTAAACAGAAAGGCCTTCTGGATGGCAAATTATGTGAAGCAGCATCCCGCGGGGATTGCTGGGACTAAGAATTAGAGCTGAGCTTTAAGGCTCAGGGAAGCCAATTAATTCTTGTCATCACTTCCCGCGGTGCTGGCAGATGCAGGAACTAAGGCCAAGGGCACAAGCCAGCTGCCCCAGGTAGGAAGCAATATTGGGATACTGTTAAATACAGATCCACTAGATAAATGTGCTTCTCTTCTATCTAGACTAGAAATGGATGCGAACATCCCCAAGGCTCCTTTTGAATACCTGATTTATACATTCTGACTGGCTGTCTCCTGGGTCATGTAGGAGTCCGTGTGCACCAGGAATCAGTGTGTGGACCCACAATGCCCTTGAGGCCAAACACAAAGGGCAGTCATGTGCCTGCATCCATCTGGAGTGGTACTGACTTTCAGAATTTGAATTTTCAGGAAAGTACTTACAATAAAATTGAACCATCCACAGGTGACTATTTCTAATCAAAATAAGGAGGAGGAAAGTAAGCTGAAACTACTACTGCTATTTGTGCTAATAAACCCAGGCTTTTGTATTCATAGATCAGACTATTCAGTAATCTCACAAAAGGCAGGAGTCTGATTTTATTTTATCTACTCTGCTCTGTTCTGTTTTAATTCGCTGGCAGAGCTGAGGAGTGGGACGGCAGAGATGACTTGCCAGAGATGGTTTTGCTTTTCCCAAGAAAAGCTTCAATCCTAAAATTCCAGTTCTTAACCTGACTCATCCTCCCTGAATGAAACCAATCTAAATTGGTGGCTGACGCTGAGGCAGCTTCCATTGCAGCTCTGCCAGGATCCCTTGTGAGATTCTGAGTGCTAACTTTCCAGAGCCTCAATACCTCCCTCCTTAAAAAGGGAGGAATAACAGTCCCCACTTTAAGGGTGGGCATGAGGACTGAGATAATTCACGTAGATCTCTGCCTGACACACGGCACACACTCAATAAATAAGAGCTGCTGATTTTATTACAGTGTTTACCTTGCCAAGCAGACATCAGTCATTTACAGCATATTCTCATGTGGCCCCTCACTTATTTCTTTATTCTTATGACATGTTATCAGTGTAGTTTGGCCCAGAAAGAGGTTTGACATAGCTGACCCAGAACCATGCTGCTGTCTGGGGTCTGTCTTAGGTGATCAAGTCCCCAGAGTGCAGGGCAGAGGCCAACACGTGGGTGTTTGTGAAATACTTTCCAGCGATGCAAACAGTCTAGATTCTGTCATGAACGCAAATAAGCCTGCAGGGAGCATGAAAAGTTGAATTTTACCAAGATAATTGTGCCTGTCAGCTTGAGTGGAGTAAAGGACTCTGGGAGAGACGACTGGATTGTGAGGGCTCTAAACTCAGCCATAGGTTGGTTAGTCCACTGATGAGTTACAGCTAAATGGACCAGTAGGAGGTGAAGCAGGAGTCATCACGGAACTATGACCTTCAGGCTCTGATTCTGATCCCAGCCTCTCACTCTAGACCTCTCCCTGTTCTCTCTGCTCCCTGGGTGCTGTGAGCTGAGCAGCTTTTTCATTACGCCCTTCCACCGTGATGTGAAATTTTAGCCTTGGACTAGAGAACTGTAGACTGAACCCTCCCACCAGGTAATCTGGAAAACAAACCTGTCCTCCTTTGGGCTGTAGGTGTCAGATATTTATTCCCAGCAACAAAAAAATGACTAATACAACAACTGACAGAAAAGGAACGAGAGCAGGGCATGACCGCAGATGAACTCTGCTTTGTGGGCAGGGCCCAGTCTTACTCAGCAGTATTTATGATAATCTTTCTATAACTCAATAAAGCCCCTGTCGCTGCTCTGAAATGGAAACATAGAGGATGCCTGAAAAGAAACACTGATCATGTGAAGAGCTTCCTGAGCAGAGATGGAAGCGCTCCAGGAGGGAAACACTTAGCTTATCCTACACCCTGGAATTGCAAAACTGAAAAACAAACAACACACACACACACACACACACACACACACACACACACACACACACAAATATATATATATATATATATATATATATATATTATTTGCATAGAGCTAATATCAGTGGTAGAGGGAACACTATTCCTGTCAAACTAAGAAGTATTTTTGAAAGCAGAATAAAGTAAACCTGTAACAATGATGGCTCAAGAGGTACATACAAAACTCAAGAACTAATGACCATAATCAGTGACCAAAAGTGATCTGTAGGCTCCTTTGGCCCTGTGCTGCCCAAGTGACAGCCAGCTGCATGGAAGGTAGGCTGCAGCTCTTTCGCTGAAGGGCTCCTGTTCATCCTTCCCGAGTACCGCCCAATTGCAGGCCGGAGAACGGAGGCCACGCCACATTGGCCAGCAGAGCCTCAGTGAGGGATGGATGTGTCAGGGAGGCGCCAGGGCCGCTATGTCATCTAAATGCATTCTCCTACTGGAACTGAGTATCCCTGGTTCTACATGATAAATGGGTGCTGAAGAATCCAGTGCACCCATTTTTCACCAGTTTTTTTCTATGTGATGAATAGAGAGAGTACAAATCTTAAAAACAAGTCTGTATTCTCCAGCCCGGGAACTCCAAGCCAAACAAGACAACATGTTTGGGGTTTATGAATATGAACTACTCTTCCATTCCCCAATTCACAGACTTATTTAAAGTTCCTCCGTCAGAATGATAGATTTAGCTTTGGGGATTGCAAAATTCATGTTTAATAAAATGACTCAGCAAATTTTACACTTCTTCCTGTGAACAGCCCAGGTTTGTGCTGCCTGAGCAGTTTTCACTTTAGCAAAGAATTCTGTGAGGGGCAAAACATGGTCCAGCAGGTAGACCTGGGTCTTCTTTGATAATTCCCCTGGGTCCCGGTGTTTGAGGAGGTTTTTGTTTGTTTGTTTGTTTGTTTGTTTGTTGTGTGTGTGTGTGTGTGTGTGTGTGTGTGTGTGTGTTTTAGGGAAAGGTCTACAGGATGTTCAGGGTCTCACTACTAGATCAGACTCCTAGTGATCCTCCTGTTTTCAGCCTCCCAAGAGCTGGGATTAGAGGTGTGCGCCACATACACAGTCTCAATCGCCCTCTCAGAGTGCCCTGGGGGCAGGGCCAGAGCATCAGGCCCGGCCCAGGGATTGACCCCCATCCCCTGAGCCTGCTTGCAAGCTCTT